CTTTACGGGCACAGCAATTTTGACCATGGCTCATGGGGTGTCCTGGAAAGGGTTCTTCCTCTTTTGCAGGGGGGCTGAAGGGAAAACAGAAAGGAACCCCACCGTTCCTACGGCTTCCCGAAGTTTGATACTGTTTGAGTTGTTGCAGATGAAAGCGCAGAGAAACCCTTTGCTGACAAGCCCATGTAGCAAATGCCACAGAAGGGAACCCAACCGTTCCTACGGCTTACTGTTTGGGTTGTTGCCAATGAAAGCGAAGAGAAACCATTTGCTGGCAAGCGCTGGCGGTTTTGGGCATTTGCACATGGGCTTCAGGAATGGCACTGGATCGTCGGCTAGCCTTCGAGTCTTGCAGAGGGCCGCAAAATTATGCTTGGCTTTCTGGGTCCTGGCTATAGAAACCTTGCCAGCCATCTCGGTACAAACGTCGGCGTTTTTTTTTTTTTGGGGGGGGGGGGCGCGCACATTTTTTTTGGTTTGGGGGTGGGTTGGCGCAGAAACTTCATTGGCACAGAAACGCCAAATTTTGGCCCATGCGAGGTGACGATGTATGCCAGAGACGGCATGCGGGACATTTTTAGCTGGCTCCTGAGCTGGGAGCACGTTTTGCTGAAACGTGAGGGGCAGACCGTCCAGTCTGAAAATCTTTTGGTCTCAACCCAACCAACGGGAACACCGAAGCCGGTTTTTTGACCTTCTTGGACCACTTGTTGGTTCCACCTTTTGGTTCCCAGGAAAGTTTGGGGTCCCTAACATGGACCAAACAAAAAGGGTTTGAAGTACCCTTTTGAGCCAAAGCATCAATTTTTGGACACATCTCTTGAAGCCAAGCTGAGAAGGGTCCCTCAGAAACACATCCATATGAGGACTTGTCAGAATGGTGGACCCTCCTTTGCCCCGAAGGGAACCAATCATTCCAGGGGACCACGTTCAATTTTGAGAAACCATCATACGGCCGTGATTTTGGAATAGGGAACCCCTCTAAAAGTGCTTGGTGCACCTTTCTGTCCCCCTTCAATTCTGACGTCCACCGTTTTCTGGTCCTGAAAGGACCCACTAAAAACAACAACACAAAACAGAGCGATCCACTCACCCATTG